CCTAGACGGCTCAAGATGGCCTCCAAGATGGCCACGTTGGCCCGAAGGGCCTCCACGATGGTCCAAGATGGCCTCCAAGTCCGCCCAAGATGGTCCAAGACGGCCTCCAAGATGGCCCAAGAGAGTCCAAGACGGCCCAAGACCGCCCAAGAGGCCCCCCAGAGGCCTCCCAGACGGCCCAAGAGGCGTCCAAGAGGTCCTCCAGGAGGGCCCGAAGAGGCCAAAATCATTTATTATCCGAAGGTTTTTGGAAGATTTAGGAATTTGCTTCTTCTCAGCATTCCGACGGCTCAAGACGGCCCAAGAGGCCCCCAAGATCGCCCGAGAGGCCCCCAAGAGGGCCCCATGACGGCCCATGGACGGGCAAGTGGCTCCAGCGACGTTCCCACACACACCAAACACACCATCCCACGACGGCGCGCCAAGCCAAGACGGCCAAGAGGCCTCAACACGGCCCAAGATGGCCTTGCTGCCAAGACGCCAAAGGATGGCCCAAATGGCCTCAAGACGAACCGATAGGGTCCTGGAGTCCCCCGTTAGGCCCAGCAGAAAGGCCCCCAAGGACGGCTCCCGACGGCGTCAGACGATGCCAAGGAACCACCAGGGATGGCCGAAGTTGGCTCGAAGCTGGCCCAAGACGCCCAAGAGGCTCCCAAGAGGCGCCTCCAGGAGGGCTCCGGAAGAGGCCCAAAATAATTTATTGTCGTAGGTGTTTGAAGAGATTTGGGAATTTTTGCTTCTTCTCCGGCATTCGAAGCAAGACGGCCCAAGAAGCCCCCAAGATCGCCCAAGAGGCCCCCAAGAGAGCCCCATGATGGCCCAAGTGGCCTCCAAGATGGCCCCTAGAGGGCCCCAAGAGGGCCCAAGACGCCTCCAACACGCCCAAGATGGCCTCCCAGACGCCCAAGATGGCCTCCAAGACGGCCCTGGAGCATTCCAAGCGGGCCCCAAGTCGGCCCATAGAGGCCCCCCAAACGGCTTCCGACGGCTTCAGACGTGCCAGGAACCCACCAAGATGCCGAAGTTGGCTCGAAGCTGGCCCGAGACGGCCCAAAAAGCCCAATGAGGGGCCCTCCAGAAGGCCAGAAGATGCCAAAAAACATTGTGTTCCTTTTGGTATGAAGGATTTTTGACATTGCTTTATTTTCGGCTTCCGTCATCCCCCCCGAGCGGGCCCCCAAGAGCTCCAAAGATCGCCGACAGATCGCCCAAGAGGCCGCCAAGATGGCCCCAGAACGGCCCAAGAGGGCCCCAAGACGGCCCCCAAGACGGCACAGGAGGCCTTTAAGACGCCCAAGATGGCCTCCAAGACGGCCCTGGAGCATTCCAAGAGGGCCCCAAGTCGGCCCATAGAGGCCCCCCAACCGGCTTCCGACGGCGTCAGACGGACCAGGAGCCCACCAAGACGGCCGAACATGGCCCTAAGATGGCCCAAGACGGCCCAAGAGGCCTCCAAGAGGGCCTCCAGGAAGGCCCGAAAAGGCCAAAATCATTGATTTGCCATGGGTTCTTGAAGGATTGTGGCATTTGCTTTTTTTTTCTGCCTTCCGAGACCCTGAGATGGCCAATGCCACAAAGTTCGCCATGAGCCAAGAACTGGCCCCAAGAGGCCCCTAGACGGGCCAGGGCCCACTACGTACGCTCAAGATAGCAGCCAACATGCTCCGAGAGGCGACCTCAAGGACGTCCTCCAAGACACGCCCGAAAAGGGTAGAATGGCCTCCAGTCGGCCAAAGATGACCTTCAAGTGCCTACGTGTTCCCCGAATGCTTTCCAAGCCGTTCGGGGGGGAACACGTGGTCCGATAGCTTGGCAGGCCTCTGGCCACAACCTTCGGCCACATAGGCGCTTCCAAAAAGGCAGGGGGCGGCGGTGATTCGCCGTAGGCGTCTTCGATCCGCCGCCCCCTGTCCCCCTGTCGATTCATCGCAGGGGTGCCTGAACTATATGGGTTGGTTTTGGTTCTTTTCCAAAAGAACTCCCCCTGGGGCTTCGGCCCGTCCCGCCGGCCACCCGGAAGGATGCCGAAAGGTTGCCCGGACCCGGTTGCAAAGTTTTTGTTCGCTCCAGACGGTCCCCAAGATCGCCCAAGATGGCCTCCAAGACGCTTCCAAGACGGCCAACATAGCCTCCAAGACGGCTAAGATGGCCCCAAGATGCCTCCAAGACGGCCCAAGGTGCACCCAAGACGCCCTAAGATGGTCTCAAGATGGCCCAAGACGGCCCAAGAGGCTCCCAAGAGGCCTCCAAGACGGCCCAAGAGGCCCCCAAGAGGTCCTCCAGGACGGCTCGAAGAGGCCAAAATCATTTATTTTCTCACGGTTTTTGAAGGATTTGGGCATTTGCACATTTTCCGCTTTCCGACGGCCCGAGACGGCCCAAGAGGCCCCCAAGGTCGCCCCAAGATCGCCCAAGAGGCCTCCAAGATGGCCCCATGATGGCCCAAGAGGGCCCCGAAACGGCCCAAGAGGGCCCCAAGACGGCCCAAGAGGTCTCAAGCCGCCCAGGATGGCCTCCAACAGGGCCCAGATGGCCCAAGATGGCCTCCAAGATGCGTCCAAGACGGCCCCGAAGCGCCCCAAGAGGGCCCCAAGTCGGCTCAGAGAGGCCCCCAAGACGGCGTCAGGCAGGCCAGGAGCCCACCAAGACGGCCGAAGTTGGCTCGAAGCTGGCCCAAGACGGCCCAAGAGGCCTCCAAGAGGACCTCCAGAAGGCCAGAAAAGGCCAAAATCATTAATTGTCCATTGGTTTTTGAAGGATTTTCACATTTGCTTCTTTTCGGCCTTCCGACGGCCCGAGACGGCCCAAGAGCCCCCAAAGATCGGCCAAAGATCGCCCAAGATGCTTCCAAGATGGCCCCAGAACGGCTCAAGAGGCCCCCAAGACGGCCCCAAGAGGCACTCAAGACGGCCCAGGAGGCTTTTCAGACGCCCAAGATGGCCTCCAACACGGCCCTGGAGCATTCCAGGAGGGCCCCAAGTCGGCTCAGAGAGGCCCCCCAAACGGCTTCCGACGGCGTCGGACGGGCCAGGGGTCCACCAAGACGGCCGAAGACGGCACTATGCTGGCCCAAAACGGCCCAAGAGGCCTCCAAGAGGGCCTCCAGGAAGGCCAGAAGAGGCCAACACCATTGATTTTCCTTTGGTTTTTGAAGGATCTTGACATTTGCTTTTTTTCTGCCTTCCGACGGCCCGAGACGGTCCAGGAGCCCCCAAAGATTGTCAAAAGGCCCAAGACGGCCCCAAGAGGCCCCCAAGACGGCCCAAGAGGCCTCCAAGACGCTCAAGATGGCCTCCCCAAGAGCCCTCCAAGACGTCCTCCAAGAAGGCCCGAAAGGGTCAAAATGGCCTCCAGACGGCCAAGATGACCTTCAAGATGCCCACGTGTTCCCCGAAGGCTTTCCAAACCGATTCGGGGCACACATGGTCCAATAGCTTGGCAGGTCTGGCCTCAACGTTCGGCCACATAGGCGCTTCCAAAAGGCAGGGGGCGGCGGTGATTCGCCGTAGGCGTCTTCGATCCGCCGCCCCCTGTTGGCTTCCACAAAAAAAAAAAAAAAAAAAAAAAAAATAAAAAGGGGTGCCCGGCGTGTGCTTGCTCCATTCCAGTTTGGTCTTAGGATTATAAATTTTTTATTAGGGGTTCTGTTTCCAAAAGAACTGCCCCTGGGGCTCCGGTTCGTCCCGCCAGCCACCCGGAAAAGTGCCCACAAGGTGGTTGCAAAGGGTTGTTCGCCTTCAGACGGCTCCAAGATGGCCTCCAAGATGGCCAAGATGGCCCAAGATGGCCTCCAAGATCGCCCAAGATGGTCCAAGATGGCCTCGAAGACGGCCCACGAGAGTCAAGACGGCCCAAGAGGCCCCCTAGAAGCCCCAGGTGGCCTCCATGACTGCCAAGATGGCCTCCAAGATGCCTCCAAGACGGCCAAGATGGCCTCCAAGACGGCCAAGGTGGCCCCAAAATGCACCCAAGATGGCCTCAAGATGGCCGAAGACTGTCCAAAAGGCCCGCAAGAGGCCTCCAAGACGGGCCAAGAGCCCTCCAAGACGTCCTCCTGGAAGGCCCGACGAGGCCAAAATCATTGAGTTTCCGTTGGTGCTTGAAGGATTTTGGCACTTTCGTCTTTTCAGCTCTCCGACGGCCCAAGACGGCCCAAGAGGCCCCAACATCGACCCAAGAGCGCTCAAGAGGCCTCGAAGATGGCCCCATGACAGGCCAAAAGGCCCAACAAGACCCCAAGACGACCAAGAGGACCCCAAGACGTCCAAGACGGCCTCCAAAACGGCCAAGAGATGGCTTCCAAGATGTCTCCAAAGCGGCCAAGAAGGCCTCCAAGACGGCGAAGATGGCCCCAAGATACACCCGAGACGGCCCCAGATGACCTGAATGTGGCATTAGACTGCCCACAAGGCCCGCCAGAGGCCTCCAAGACGGCCCAAGACCCCTCCAAGACGTCCTCCAGGAGGCCTGAAAGCTCGGAAACCACCTGGTCCCATAGCTCGCCCGACTCCGTGTTCCCCGAAGGCTTTCGAAACCCACTCGGGGAACGCGTGGCCCGATAGCATCGCCAAGCTCAAACCCAACTTTCGGCCACGCAGGCGCTTCCAAAAAGGCAGAGGTGGCGGTGATTCGCCGTAGGCGTCTTCGATAACGCCAACGTCTCAATATGCGCTGATGATTCCTATCCGCCCCCGCATGATGTTCCCAAATGCGCCAAGGCAGCGCCGAGATGCACCGACGCGACTCTTATATATCCCATTGTGATACAGAGGGGGCCGGCGGCAGGGGGCGGAGCCTGCATCACGCAGGGACTGAATGGCGGTATGACGGCAATGCTCGCTTCGGCAACAGCAGGCGAACCCTACCCCTGCAGTTTCTGAAGCGTCGCCATGAACCTGAAGGGTGTATGCAACGAATACCCCCGCGCCGATCGGACCCGCAGGAGCAGATCGAGCTCGGAAATGGTCGCAAATCGACGTCAATGGATTCGCAAGGCGCTCCTGAGCCTGCACACCTCCATCACCGCATCCGATGTGGGGGGCAGCTGCTTGGTGCACTTGGACGCGGCCAGCCGCGGAGCCGTGGGCGACGCCGGCGCCTGCGCTTGGCCCCACCACTTGAACCGCCCCGCACTCCCTCGAGCGGAGCCGACGACCTTCCCCCTCGGCCACCCACTACCTCCGAAGGTTTTCAGAGGTCTCCCAGGGTCTCACGAGAGCTCTCCGAAGTCCCCCGGAAGACGGAAAGCTCTAGAGGTCCCCCCGAAGGCCCTGGCCCTAGGACGGAGGGCCCAGAGGGTCCGAAACGACCAAAAAGCCTGGATCCTCAATCTCGATCCCCTCGATCCTTTCGACGATAACGACAACGATGACGACGAGACCGACGACGACGACGACGACGATAACGACGATAACGACGACGACGACGACGACGACGACGACGACGTTGACGACGATAACGACGAAGAAGAAGAAGAGGGCAGCCTTCAACTGCGGCAGCGGCGCTGGCGAGCACGCCTCCTGCCGGACGGGCGCCCCTTGTCCTTCTCTGACTTACCCCCTCCTCCTTCTATTCCTCCTACTCCACCTCCTCGACCTCCTCCTCCTCACTCACTCTCTCTCTCTCTCTCTCTCATTCACTCATTCTCTCACTCACTCACTCACTCACTCACTCAGTCACTCATTCTCTCATTCCCTCCCTCCCCCCTCCCTCCCTCCCTCCCTCCCTCCATCGTCATCATCATCATCATCATCATCATCATCATCATCATCATCATATC